TGAACCCTAGTAGCATGATCAACCTTTTTCCTACAAGATTCTACGATGCCTAATAAAATGGCGCTGCACAGCAGAAGATCTAGCAGGATAATCTACTCTTACACATTTTATAGATAGCAACAGTTCGAACCTTTTGACCATTCTCGGTCTCACAGATCTCATCAAAATCAACCTGGACACCAGATTTACGCTTACCAAGGCATGAGGTACCATCTCAGGCTATTGGGCCGATCGGTGTCTCGTCATTGCCCGCTGACGGCCTTGGCCTGCTCCGCCCCTCCACCACCGCCGCCACCGTCCGGATCGATCGGAGCAGAGCCGCTACCGATATCAATACCCAACAACGCAGCAAGCATCGCCACACGGATGTCGTCGTGCCGCCCTTCGGGAGCACCGCCGCCGCGATCAGTCATCGTTGCCAATGAGTGGATAGGCGACATCATCATCATCCCGCCATGGCGACCTTGATCATGGATGGCTTATCTCCAAAGCTCTCCTCAGCGGTGCGCGCGGCCGTCGTGCCCGATCTATGCTGGTGAAGAGGACGACGAGGCATCGACAACCTGACCGCATTTGAGGAGAAAAACAGAGTCGAGAGATAGAGCCATAGAGGTGCAGATCCAAGAGTCATGGAAGAGACACAAGAAGTGGAGAAGACAGATCTAGGGTTAGGGTTAGGGTTAGTGTTAGCGGATTACTGCATAGAACCGGAGCCGTATGCTGGGAGATGACGAGGGCCACCGGAGAGAGAGACGATTAGAAACGATGGCGAAGCGGCGGAGGAGGGGAGGGACGGTAACACTGTCACGAACTCACATAGTTCACCGAGAGCAAGAGAAGAGAGAGGAGAAGGGAGGAGAGAGGGAGAAGAGGAGAGAGGCGGATCGAGGTCACCAGAAGTCGGGGATGACGGATGAGATCGATGAGATCACGAGAGAGCTCAGATTCACCGGATCGTGGATGCGGCCGAGTGGGCGAGAGTGAAAGTAGAGATTACGCTGGCGAGCCAGTGAGCGAGTGGGGATTAGGGTTAGGTTGGGAGCGGACTACGAGAGAAGGCCGGATATGCATAGTACTCAACTCCAACTCCAACTCCAACATATACTTTTAGATATAGAAAACGGATTGGATTTATATTTATACATAGAACGTAATTTTACATCCTTCCCGAGGAGAGAATTGAAAATAGAAGAAACCTTGGAATGGAGGAAAAATATTGAAATTTTGAAGGAATCTAAATCCTATAGTAAAAATTCCTATAAGGTACTTTAGAGCAGAGAATGTTTCCTAACAATTTTTTTTAATTCCGATGGATTGGACCATTGTGAAGGAATTTTGGAGGAAACTAAACATGAGCTTCAACCTCATTATTTTGTTTCCTGTGCTTTTTCTACATTGCTTCTAAAGACATCTAAAACACCGTAGGATTTGAAGTGTTAGGACATTTCATTCCCACATTTTTCTATTTCTATATTTTGTAAATCCTTTGTTCCAAAGGGGCTTTAAAGGTTGGGAACACGACGTCAGTGTGTAAGTGAACACATGGTGGAGATGTTCCCATGTGTGCGTTAAATGTCGAAGTGATTTGGCCTGCATTCATTTGGTTGGTTTCTGGCCGGTCTTTGGTTTGTTGTGAAAGGAAAAACACTGCTATTTTTGTTTGGTTGGGTCGGTGAAAACCAACAAACTAACAGAAATTGATTGTTAGGAGATGATCAAGCTTTGATTTAGTGTGGAGAATAACCATGCGTGGGTTGGCTTTGTACAACATGTCTCTTGTCTTGTGGTGTACAAGTGTGGAGCACTGAGATTGATGGCAATGGGGAAGGTGTGTGAGTTCGTGCTAATGGACTGAGAGCAGTGGAGAACAGATGTGGTGTCTCAAACCTGGGACCAAGGCCGGTTTCTCTCGGAGATATTTTGATTCGGCTCCCATTCACTCTCTCCCTGGTCGCCAGCTCGGTCCTTCAATGTGGCCTACATGTGAGCGTAGATGTGCACATTCAACAAGTCCATGCATCCATTTATATGTTTTGCAACTTGTTGGACTAAAGTGGTGCCACCATACAAGTTGTTGTATGGCTGGTCTTGAAATAGCTATATTCGTCCTTAAACTTTCATCTAAAGCACAAATTTGTTCCTCAACTATCAAAACGGCCGATTTAGTCCTTGAATTTGAATTTCAGTTTCGGTCTCATCCTTTGTCTGCCATAGTAGCTCACTCCGTCAGCACAATTATATTGGGAGACAAAAAAGGTGATTGAAGACCTCACATCCATGAATCAAAGCTTGACACAGTTTGTATCTGCAGGCAGCCAGACAATGGGGTGATATGTATGGTGAAACAAACCTAAAATTACCTCATTTTCAGGATGTATGGGGTTCTTGCATATCGAATCAGTATTGACCAATGCAGCAAGCAACAAGAGCTGCCATTGTTCGAGTGTTCTCACTTGCACTTATAGAATATACACAGTACACATAAGAAATTTACCAGCACCACACAGGTGGAGACCAACAAAAACGTGTGTACAAACAGCATGTTCCGGAGTCGAACTCGTACGGCGTAAAACTTGTATTGTTTGACGAATATACTGTACTGACGTGTTTCTTAACCGTAACTTTTGTACCATACCGTACGTACGGAGAGGCCCCTTGACCAGACATCCAAACTTGCTCTATATATACACATCGCAACTTCAAAAGTCCACACACTGCATTAGTGTATTGCATCGAACATGTCTGCCAATTTCGCCTTGTGCACCTGCAACGTTGAGCAATTGATCACTGTGATGATCAACAATGAAGACAACAAGGTGGTGAAGAAAGAAGAGTTGGAGAAGAGGAAGAGGAAGAAACCAGGATGGCTGACAAGACGAGTAAGAACCAAGGGCAATTGCTTCCTCTCCATCTTCCTATGCACCTGAAGATTTGAGAAAAATGTTGTAATTCATATTCTCCATCAATCTGAGACAACGAATGTATATACATTGATTTATTTCCCGACTTCATGTGATACTCCAGTTGTAGTTTGTCTTCGTTCAATAAATGACATGTGATTTGCACGCTGTCAGGAACCTGGTTATCTCAACCGAGCTAGCACCTAGCACACTAGCATTTCTGTAGACAGTGCTAACCCCAGGTGTTATCGGAAGTACTATGGTGCAAGTCTGTATCCTCTTTAAGCAAATAATGAGCTATTGCAATCTGTGATAGTTCTGAGTTCACACGACTTCAACAGAAAATTTTGTTATTACATAGCTATGGTATAACTATGTACATAAGTGGGGAAAATAAAGTTTAAACTATAAGACAATGTGTGTTTGACAATTGTTGTGAAACTCTCAAGTTCTGTCTATTTAGTAACAAACAGGCAAAGCTAGTCTCTCATGGCATCATCAGAATCAGCATCATCTAACACCAGATCTTTTTCCAGATTTTCCAGAATCGGAGAATCCGGTATCCTGTTGCCAATGAGCTCCTGTAGCTCAAGCTCACTAGGAAACCTCTGCTCAGACAGTTTGGAGAAAACCTGAAAAGTGGAGAAATTGCTAGCATAAGCAAGACAGATCCAGGTCGGCTGCATAAGAAATTCAGTTACGGAAAAGGAGAATCCAGGAATGGTTCAAACACCGCATGTGAAAAAGAGTAAGACTATAGTTCCACTTCAAAGAACTATGATTGCTCATCATATTTAGCATTTGCATAAATGGTCCATATGGACTGCATATATAAGAAAATAAGCTTTCTTGAAGCTTGTGATTCTATATGAATGGAAAGACCTAGATCCCAGGCTATTTTTACAAACACCAACCACCTGTCATTTTGGAATGGCCTACCCAGCATAGGCATCTACTATTACGGACTCAACAATTTCCCCTACTTGGTTTGTTGCATTTATAGTACCACTTTCAGTCTCATCGTTTGGCTATGGCTACAGTACTATGCAGCATAAGTACAACTAATACACACTTCAGTAATGATAACATAGGAAAGTTTGGACAGATTAGTACTTTGACTCCACCAAGAGAAAGAAAAGCACAGATGCCATACAAACAAACATAACAAACCCTGCTCTGAGCTCTCTCATCTGTTCCAGAATAACTTGCTCTTTTTCCAAAGCTTTATGTACACCAACAATTGATAGTTGTACCAACATATGAAGACATTGTATGCATAAACATGACCTGACCTCCACATTTCAGTTTAGAGATCCAGGAAAAGGAACTAGTTTACCTCAGGTTCCAAAATGTTACTAGCTTCTATCAAGAGGAAATAAGAATAGCTCACTGAAGTAAAGCACAGGAAGCTTCAGTGCCCAGCAAAGTGCAAGCAGTCGACAAGAAATGATTCCGAGAAAATATAATATTGCAAATAAAAGTAAAGTACTGCAGAACGATATTGCAGTAAAATTATGTATTCATAGGAACCTACCAGTTGCCCGCTGCAATAAACTTCAAAGGCACCAGAACTCTGTAGAAATGAATGGGCGAAATTGCCAAACAGCCAGATTGATGCCATGGTCCCAAATCTATTAGCACGAAGTGAGTAGTACCAAGGAGGTGGAACCATTCCAAATCTAGGGAAGATCTGATCACCAGCCATTAATGTTGCCATCGCTCCAAACTGAAGAAGGGGTACAGCTTTACCGAAAGTGCACGCTTGGGGAACGGTGGAGGATAATTTTCCAAGACAACATGAATCCCAGGAAATGAGGTTTCCAGCACCCGTTTCATGGTCATTGCAGCCCCCCTACAAAATTTGACATGAAATCAGCAATCTCTCATACAATATATACACAGGGTCATTCTTTCAATAAGAAAGCATGGAAGTTTTCCTTATCTTGGAAGGAAAAGCATGATGATTGTAGAAAATGATAGCAGCATAAACACAAAAAGCAAAACTACTATACTCTACAAGATTTTTATTAAAGCATGTCAATAAAGAGGTTTTGCAGTTGAACTTGCACCAACATCTGTAGAGCTGTTTATAATACCAAAAGAAGGTTCAATGTTCTTTTTTAAGGGATGGTGATAGGATTACGGATCCTACCAGCGTAGATCACGGAGTCTCAGAGCGGTGAGAGGGAGGTGGAGCAGGCTTGGGACCTCGCTGCCGGGCGGCTGGGTGCCGCCGCGAGGTTGCAGGCGTGGAGAAGATGAACAGGCGGGGCTAGGGCAAATCCGGCTCCCAAAGGAAGCCGGAAACAATTAAGATTGTTTCTGCTTGATTATCCAAATGTCTTACAAGCCATATATATATAGCTCTCAAAAATAAGGGATATATCTAATAAATAGGCTAAATAATAGATAATATGGGCTGTTAGCCCTCTAATGCCGGCGCACAAGCTCAGCCACTAATGGGCCTCCTCCTGGTATATGTGACGCCGGTCATAACATCTCTCCCTCGTCACAAAATGCTCGCCTCGAGCTGGAAGTCGAGGAAGTGGTCGCGAACTCGCCGAGGGTTTCCCATGTAGCGCCATCATTTTGGGGAGGCCGTGCCATCTGGATCGCGACCGCCACACACCACGGCTACTGAAGTGCACGGAGAGCCCGCGCCGGCTCAGAAGCGACCACCATCCATGGCGGAGGAAGGCTGGTGGCGGTCGTTGGAGGGTCCAGCGCGGTGCGGCTTCGTGGAGACCAACGTGGAAGACGTCGTGGATGCGGGCGTTTCAGTAATTGAGGCGGTGACGCGACACGGCCAATGCGTTCCCGCACTGGAACGGACCAAAGATAGCGAGGACCCAACTTGTGCTTAGCCCGCTGGTCGAGGGATCGTGTGCGGTGCGGTGAAGGAGGCGCATGCACACCCGGGCCGCCCACACTCGAACTCCACATCGCGGTGGCCGGGGCGTTGTAGTACTTCTTGGACAGTTTCGCTGCGCTGGAGGAGCTGGCGCATGCTCCGCCAAGATCTCATCGCGGTCGCGAGAAGGCTATCTACGGCGTCGGTCCTCGCCGCCCGGCTTTGTCTGGACGGCAGAATAGGCGGGGAGGGCGACGACACCACCTCAAAGGAGTCATCCGAAGGGGCGTGTGGAATGAGGTATTGTAGCAATACTCCGCCACGACAAATGGCCGATCCACCCGCGCCGCCGGCACACCGTAACATAACGGAGATACATGGCAATCACCTTGTTGACCACCTCCGACCGCCGTCCTCGAGGATGAAAGCGGTGCTCGCGCGAAGCTTGACGCCCGCCATCCGGAAGAGATCCCGCCAGACATGGCGGTGAACACGGGTCCCGATCACCGACGATCGACGAAGGGAACCCATGGAGCCGGACGATGTTGTCGGAAGAAGGCGCGAGCGCGACGGAGGTAGCCGTGTAAAGGGGTGCCTAAGCGCAATAAAATGCGCGTATTTGGAGAAGCGGTCGACGACGGTGAGGATGACGGATTTCCGCCAACCTTGGGCAGCCCTTCGATGAAATCCATGGAGATGTCGGCCTGCACTTGGTCAGCACCTCGGGGCGGGTCGGAGCAGCCAGTGCCGCGGAATGCCTCCATCTTGTTGCGCCGCACGTCGTCGCAAGCGCGCACTCCTGGCCCCGGACTAGGAGCGATCCTCAGGATGTAGAAGTCGGCGAGGCGGTGGAGAGTCTTCAGACACCCTCATGTCCACCCGCATGGGCCTACCGCAGGACTTGGTGGCGCAGTCATCGACGCCGGGTACGAAGATACGCCGCCATGCAAGAAGAACACGGCCGTCCCTCGTGCCTGGCCGCCTAAGTCGCCACACGCAGGGCGGCGGTGCGGCATGCCGCTCTGCCGTCCGCGGCGGCGGTCAGAAGGCCATGGACCGCATCCAAGAAAGGCGGCACGCCCAGATGGCTCCTTCGCCGCACGCGCCGCGCCGTCAGCATCGTTCATCGCCTCGGCGTCACGCCGTAAAGCCATGGTATGGCTGCCACGGTGTTGAGGCGGCCGGGCGATATTCCACCGCTAAATCGAAGCCGAAAAGCTTGCCGAGCCATCGATGCCGGGGAACGTGGGGACATACCGGTCAAGTAAAATTTAAGACCAGTAATGATCAAGACTGGACCAAAAAGTGACGCCCACAAATACGGGCGCCAATGACGAACGGCTTGCACCACCCGATGAGTTCGCGCTCATAAGCCACAAGCTTGAGATGGCGGACCCCGAAAAGGCCGGTCAAGTAGGCGAGGGGTCCAGCCTTGGTGAAGGACGGCACGAACCCTCGCACCCGACGCTTCGCAATCCACGACGAAGAGCACTGTCGAAGTCGCATCGGCAAGATCGGCCCCAGAGTGAGGGCGGCCTTGAGCGCCTCAAACGCCCGTGGTCGCGCTGTCGCCCCAAGCAAACGCGTCTCGCCGCAAGAGACGCGCGCTGGCCAAGCGCTGGCGATGATGCCGAAATCCTTAATGAACTTTCTATAGTAGCTGCGAGGCCAGGAAGCCTCTGAGACCATGCGGCGAGCATGGGGTCGGCCACGCGATGAACCGCCGCGACCTTTGTCAAGCGCCCATGGCCACTCGGTCCTTGGAGATAACATGGCCTAAATAAGCCACGGACTTGACGTAGCGAAGGAGCACTTGGAGCGCTTGAGGTGGAGGTTGTGCGTCGCAGGCGTGGAGGACGATGTTGACATGTTGTAGGTGTTCGCCCGGGAGAACTGTAGATCAAGATGTCATTAAAAATACCAAAGACAAACAAACTGCGCAAATACGGCCGGGAGGACATCGCTCATCAACGCTCGAAAAGGTAGCCGAGCGTTGGAGAGACCGAACGGCATCACCAAAATCGTGAGTAGTGGCTATGAGTGCGGCGAACGCCGCGTTTTAGCGACGTCGTCGGGTGCATGCGCGACCGGTGATAACCAGAGCGCAAATCCAGCTTTTGGTGAAGAAGCGCGCAAAGACATGGAGCTCATCAAGCGGCTTTCGTCAACCATCGGGATCGGAAACTTGTCCTTGGCGGTCTTGGCGTTGAGGGCACGATAATCAATGCGAAGCGCCGGGACTTGTCCGGCTTCCGCACCAAGAGGACCCGCGCGAGAACGGCGAGGTACTCGGCCGAATGATGCTCTTCGCGCGAGCATCTCCAAGACACCGCGTTCTCCACTCGCCCTTCCGGAGAGGGGGGGTAGCGGTAATGGCGCACGACCACCCGGGCGTGCAGACCGCAAGCAGGTGAATGCGGTGGTCGTGGGGCGGCCGGAGGAGCCGTGGGGCTCGTCGAAGATGGCGCCGTCTTCTTGAAGGAGGTCGCCCACAGAGGCGCGCCGGGTCGTCGGTGATGGCATGGCCACGGCCGAAGGTCGCTGGGTTTCCAGGGCATGGCGAACCGCCGACGCCTTGCCAAGTGACGGCCACCGTCGTGCCGTAACGCCATGGTGAGGCGGTGCGCCCCACAAGATGGGTCCCAGCGTCCGGAGGAAGTCAAACCGAGGATGAAGTCGAACCCGCCGAGGTCCGCATCGACGACGTAATGATGAAGTCCTCGTCGGCCGACGCGGATGGGGGCCGCGTAAGCATCCTCGCCAGCAGCTAAGCGGTCACCATTAGCGCATCGTGACGCCAAGATCATCGCCACCGGAGGAGAGAGCCCCCTGCGGCGCATGGCAAAGACCGGAGGAAGTTGTCGCGTCGACCGGTGTAGGGAGATGGCGAAGCGCTCTCCTTGATGGTGACAAAAGACGAGCATGGAGTTCGCCGGCACGGATCCCCGCAACAAAGATGAAGAGAGACGACGAAAGCATTAGCCCCGGCGAGCTCGGGGCCGCCGGGTCCTCCACGTGGATTCAAGAACCGCAGCAGGCGTTATCACCGCGATGTCGCCGATGAAGTCATCGCGACTCGAGAAGAAAGGGCCGCGCAGACGTGGCCGCGAACATAAGGCTCGTCACAATTAAAACAGAGCCCTTGTCGGCGGCTTTCACCATCTCCGCCGGGCGGTGGCGGCGCGACAGACGACACAAATAACAAGGCGTAAGGCATTTCTTGGAGGGTGCTGCGCGCCTCAGGCGGAGCCGCGCCCGGCGCGGTGGGAGGGCGGCGACCCTGGCGTTGAGGAGGCGGTTGCCCTTGAGTGAAGGCGTGGCGCCGAACGGCCGCGGCGCTTCGAACGCCCGAGCCAAGTACATGGCGATTGGAGGTCGCCATGACGCGCACAGATCTCCACATGCACTTTGATCTGGTCCAGAGCCCGCCCGCGTACAACTCCGCCTTTTTGGCGAGGAGAGGTCACGGCATGGCACAGACGGCGCAGAAGCTTCGGAGTAGTCTTGCACGGTGGAGAGGAACGGCAGCGCTAACTTCGCCAAGCGAGTGCCTGTCTGCATACCGCCCAAAGCGGAGGGAGCAGAGTTCCGGAACGCCCTGTGGCGGCATGCCCTCGTCTTGTTCGAGGCGTAGTACCATGTCTGCTGGCGCCCTTCATGTGATAGGACGCGAGCCAAAAAGGCTGAAGCCATCGTCTCATTGTCTCGGAAGAATTGCTCACATTGGTTCAACCAATTGAGCGGTCGACGAGGAGCCCGTCACACGTGGGGAACTCGAGTTTGTAGAACTTTTGAGCAACTGGCGCCAAGATAGCGGCCGATCCGTCTTGTGGGGCCCCCGGAGGGAGGCGCCCACCCCGGAGATGACTGGCCGCATCGGCGACGACGCTGCGCGGCGCGCGCATTGATGACGTGCGGTGGTGGCGTTGGTGTAGCCGGAGGAGCAGCCGAGCCCATCGCCCATGATGGAATCGGGACGGCGAGGCCGGCCGGCCGCAGAAGATGGAGCGGCACTCAGGTATTCGAGACCCAAGCATCCCGTAAGGAAAACTCGAGGCCGGGAGCGGTAGGCCGGAGCTCACAGAGGAACCCCGTGGACGGCCGGCGGCGTTAGCGGCGGCGGCGCCGAGAACGGCGGGGGGGTCTGCTGGGCGAGCCCCGCCTAAGCCGCCTCGCATGGACGCGATGTTGCGGTTGATGTCGAGGATCGCGGCCGCCAAGGACTCGAGCGTGAGCGGCCGCGGCAGCGATATGTCGTCGAGCCATCCGAGATCTCGAGCCTGCAGATTGGAGCGGCGCCTTGGTGGAGGTAGGTGGTGGTGGGAAGGAGGAGGTCTACCGAGGTTGCGACATCGCTTCTGGCGGCCCGATACCAGCCGATAGGATTACGGATCCTACCGCGTAGATCACGGAGTCTGTAGGGGTGAGAGGAGGTGGAGCGGAGCTTGGGACCTCGCCGCCTAACACGGGCGCCTGGCCGCGAGGTTGCGGTGCGTGGAGAAGATGAGCAGGCGGCTAGGGCAAATCTCGGCTCCCAGAGGAAGCCGGAAACAATTAAGATTGTTTCTGCTTGATTATCCAAATGTCTTACAAGCCATATATATAGCTCTAAAAAATAAGGGATATATCTAATAAATAGGCTAAATAATAAATAGCCCTCTAATGCCGGCGCACAAGCTCAGCCACTAATGGGCCTCCTCCTGGTATATGTGACGCCGGTCATAACAGATGGCATGAGAACATACGTTCATCACACATTGTAAACTTTTATCACATTTTATCTTAGCTACAGACAGAAGACAATTAGGCGACTAGAATGAACAAATGGCATACAAATGCATGTCCCTCTTGTTTTTAATCACTTTGTCTTTCCTAGCACAACCAAGTATGCACCATCAAGGCCAAAACCCCAACCAAAGTACATGAGGAAAAAACATTCTTGTTTTTTTTTCCGAACAGGTAGTTGTGCATTGCTTTTTACAACCCATATAACCCATCAGCACAGTTGGATTAAGACCATGAAGGAGAGTTAGAACTAAGAAATATCCGATTGATCCATTCCCCAGAGAGCAGTCAATGCTGTGTAGACTCTGATGCTCGCACCAGACTAAAGAGCACAAACAAAAGAGGTAGAAACTAGTGTTTGAAAGATATGTTAGTTGAGGTGAATGCATTGAAATCAGTATCCTGGCTAGCTGGTATCCACTGGCAAAGTGGCAAGCTTGTCTTTTGCAGCCATACTGTACTGTTAGATTATCTTAAAAGAAAAACATGCAAAGGTAAGTTGGGATTAGAACCTCTCTTTTTGATCACCTACTTAAGAATTTTGGCTAGTCCCGTAGGCATGGTTATCTTACCCCCAACCCTCTTCTTCTTCCTCATCTCTCTGCCAACACCCGCCCAAGCTCATTCCAACAACGATAAAGCATTTAAGATCTTAGACCATCATATAACTCCAGCAAAGACAAGCTTAATTAGTTAATTGTCATGTTGTGTCATGGGTAACTGTACAATACAAATTCTAATAGTTCATCTTTGGGGGAATTGTACAATACAGAGGAGAAGTGGTAGATTTCAGCATGGTCAACAGCGTTAACCATGCTTGTGTACCTCACACGACCTTCCAGCTTAGTAAATCAAGCAAAATTTCATGGATTTGACCACCCATTCAGTAACTAATACAAAGAATCGTCATCATTATCGGTTCCTCCAACTCCATGCCAATTAAGAAAGCCAACACTAAGTACACAGAATCACCTGTACGAGCATGAGGCGCAAAACTTCAAGTCGACGGTGGTGCCGGAGCCAGGTCCATCCACCTGCGGCTCCTGCGAAGGAGAAAGCCGAAGCAAAGCACAAGAATCGCCATCAGCTCAAACAGTTAGATCGGGCACCAAACCACTCAATCAGGAGCCGTACTAATACAAACCACGTGTGCGGAAGCGTCGGCGGCGGAGGCGTCGCCGGGCTGAAAAGCGTGGAGAGCCTTGTCGGGCTCGGGGGCCGCCGGCGGAAGAGGCGCGAAGAGGGTGACGACGTCGGAGCAGAAGAGGAGGATGGGGAGGCCCAGGAGCACGAGCTGGACGCGGTCCATCGCGGCTGCGCTGCTCCTCCTCGCTCCTCTTCGGGGAGAGAGAGGTGCCCAAAGGGAAGGGGGTTCGACGGACGACCACCACAGGAAGCTAGAATTTTTTTGATGAGTCGGGCCGGGCTAAGCGGTGTGAGTGTGACACGGGAAGGCCGATGCTGGGCTGCTGGCGGCTTGCCGCGATCACTTCAGAAACTACCCAGTAGGCCACTAGGCCAGTACCTCGGCTTTGCTGGCTGGCCCAGCCCAAAATGTCAATGAGGCAGAGATCGATCGCCAATGCCAGTGATTTCACTTCCGAGTTCTTCCGACATAGTACTGTCGCTGTCACGATAAGTACATGGATAGGAGCTGAAAGTGGTGTTACAGAGAATTCCTAGCACCGAGGGATCACGTCGAACAGGGACACTACGGACGAACTCGTCCGACAAGCGTACGTACTTAGGAGTAGGTTCACAAGGGCTGGTGAGTGGTAACATTGCTACTACTCTCTCATGGTCATGGGCATTGGTTCGTCCTATCGTCGTACAGGGTCACCTCGCGCAGGCAGCAACGGCCGTTTCGTACCACTAGGCGATCGATGCAAGTCAACAGCAGAGCAACCCAATGATTCGAGCCCGGCCGCGCCCGGCGCCCCCACCCAGTCCAGTCCGACGGCGAGTGCGCGACGCAGCATTGCCACAAGCTCGCCCTGAATTCAACTGCGCGGCATTCATTGCCTCTGCGTGCGAAGAATCGCCTGTAGCTGTAGGCCTGTACCGTGTGTGACGCACCCTGCCGGGCACGGACGGCAGGAACAGTGCTTCGTTGTACAGTTTTCGCGCACATGGCGGGCTCCTGTTCCGGTGGACGAGCGAGCGCCGCTGGCCGCTGCGGCGCCACACCACCCACCGGCTCGGGCCCCCTGCTTTTAACCTTTCCGTTTCACGACGTCAGAACGGTACCGTAGGGGCTTTGATGCGCCTCCTCCGGTCCGGTCGTCCTTCTTGCCGTTTCCTCCATGGATTTGACTGTTTGATTGAGTTGCAACGGCACCTGCTTGTGTGTGAAGTGTGAACCTGAAGTGTGGCACGGCAGACGAGCGGAGGATACGATTTCGCTGCCACGCGGCATCGAAGAGGGCCAATGATTAAGAGGGGACGTATTGGACACCCTCGACCTGGACTCCTGGTAGAGAAGGGAAGTAGGACAAGTACTAGTAGTGTAGTGTAGAGCGAACAGGATTGTATACTTGCATGCATGGAGCATGGTGGCATCCAAGGAAAAATGGTACACCAAGTGGAGCCCCAGCCTGCTGCTTTTTAAGCAAAGGTTGGTGCACACCAGATAGGACTTTCCTCTCGCCGAGATCCAATTCCGCTGGTTAACGAGCCCACGACTAGTTCATTACTGGTTATTGGCTGTCACCTGCCGAGTCGCCAAGCAAGAACGGATCGCTTCCTCTCCTGCCTGGCTGCCCGGGGCCTGAGTGCCTGACCTACCCCTGTACTGCTGCTGTACGTACACACATGCGACGGCGGCAGCAGGCCAGCAGCCTTGGCGTCTAGACTTCTCCACGATGGAGATGTGACTGCTGCTGCCGCCGCCGCCGCCGAGGCTGGGTCCTGGTGACGCCTGTGGGCTGTGGCCATGGGCGGTCAGGCCAGTACGTAGCGTATCCAGAACAGCTGCCGCGACGCGCCGCGCGGACCCGCACAATCTGCCTACGGATGCAGCCGATCCTGCTTTTGATTTTAACCGGGACCGACGGCGATGTTTCCCTGCCGCTTTCGAGGATTTCGCTGTGCCCCTCTACCCAAGATCGGCCTGCCTTCTAGCAGTGCTTTCTTTACCGGGAAGTTTCACGCGTCGCATCGTTATGGAAGCGCGGCGTGCTTTCATCGGGCAATTTGGCAAGGCCGTATAATAATACATAATCTATCCGCTACCAATGGTGGTTGGAGAAAGTCCGTGGATTTGTTGGGATTTTGCCATTTTCAACAAAGGAGTTTGAATATATAGCATAGCATATCCACCGATTGAGTCAAGTGGTAGATAAACTAGAGGACGCCAAAGTTCAGGTTCAGGTGTGGTGTGCAAGTCACACACGGCATTTCATGATTTTTTTTGGGGTGTCATATCTGAAAATACTATGGTGTGAGTTGAAAATTTACCCCCTATGCATTTGAATAGGACCGCTAATTAGGAAGACAGCAGATAGGGCAGCTTCTGCAAGACAACATCTGCAGACATCCATGGGATATTTAAACAAGCACCACGCTTTATTTATTTATTTATTTATTTATTTTTAAGAGGAGATCATGCGTGAGTTTTCCAACTTTTTTCAAGTAACGATTATCAGCCATCCAGTAGAAAAGCCAATAGCCTAAATTTACTACTTCTGCCCCTGCCCACACCACCCTGTGGTGCTAGCGCTAGTGCCACGCTATGCCTCTCCTAGTGTACATTTGCTTCTTCAATTGGACAATGGATGGGAGTCAAAGAGAGGGTAATGGAGAAAAAAAGGCAGAGAGAAACAAAGTTCCTTTTACATGAGAAGAAGTACATTTATATACCAAGCTAAATTGAATAAACCTAAAACCAAGTTTCACTCTAACTGACCCAAACAAACATTTCCAAAACACAATTTAACAAAAGTGACCGACTATAATTAGTTTTTTAAAAAAAAAATCCTTCGTAAACGTGTTTTATAAGAACCATTTACTTATCGTGAGATGCTAAGTTTTTTTAAAATATTTCCAAACTTAACTTAGAAAGGTTGAGTAGACACGATATAAATCGATGTATATTTAGAAAAAGGGATTTGCTATTTTTCAGATGCCGGAAAAATAGCATCTATTTAGGCAACAACGGTGAGCTTTTAGATGAAGATCTAACGGTGCTAGATTATGATCTAAATTCACACAAAGACAATTAACAATAAACAATAAACAATTCATTAACAACCAATAATTGTTTCTATAGTAAGACAATTACAAAATTTTGATCTAAATCGATATAAAAACAATTAACAAGTAACACATTGAGTAGACACAATTCTTTAAGCATGATTGACGACCACATGTTATCTGAACGAAAGCCTGATTTCAGGGGACTATTCCTTAGCAAAAGTGTTAGAAAAACATTACTCTCGTGGGCACGCCATTTTCCTATCGCCACGCTGTCCGAGTCGGGCCCAGAGTGAGCGTAGTCAAACTCTCCACCAGCCACCACGACGGTACCACCCCACCCTGCTACTGCCATGGGCTCAGCCGCTCACGGCGGCCCCGTACGTGTGTTTTTAAACATCCGCTTCTTTTTTCATCAAAAATAGTATTTTCCTCTCACAAATTCGTTCAGATTCGAATCGGAACGTCGCAAAACCCCAAATCGCACCCAGAAACACACCCCAAACTGCGCAGCCCCACAGGGCAGTGACCTGTCACGCACACGCCGAGATGCCACGTGAGAATGTTCCCCTCCGCCCTTCCCCGCCTCGTCCTCCTCGGCCTAAAATCTACCGCCCGCGGATCGCCGGCTCCGCGTCCCCAGTTCGTCGTCCCCAGCACCTAATCCATACCGTTAGCCCGCACAGCAGTTTTTACTGCTCTGTAGGCTGTGTAGGCTCTGTACTCTCCTCTACTTCCCCCTCTCCTCCGCCTTCTCTCTCTCCGCAGGCCGTATCCTTCCTGCCTCGGTTCCTCTCCTCTCCCCCTCCACCCCAGCGCCCCAAATGCCGCTCCAACCCTAGCCTCCCGCCCCGCCTTCTGATCTCGGGCGGCCATGGGCAACTGCTGCCGCTCGCCGGCCGCCGTCGCGCGGGAGGACGTCAGCTCCTCGCACTTCCCCGCATCCAACGCGAAGAAGAAGCAGCACCAAGCGCGGAACGGCGGCGCCGGCGGAGGAGGGGGAGGAGACGGCGGCGGCGGGCAGAAGCGGCTCTCGGTGCTGGGCGACGAGGGGTGCGAGGTCATCGGGATCGACGACAAGTACATCCTGGACAGGGAGCTCGGCCGCGGGGAGTTCGGGGTGACGTACCTGTGCATGGATCGGGACACCAAGGAGCTGCTCGCCTGCAAGTCCATCTCCAAGCGCAAGCTGCGCACGGCCGTCGACGTCGAGGACGTGCGCCGGGAGGTGGCCATCATGCGTCACCTGCCCAAGAGCCCCAGCATCGTGTCCCTGCGGGAGGCGTGCGAGGACGAGGGCGCCGTCCACCTCGTCATGGAGCTCTGCGAGGGCGGCGAGCTCTTCGACCGCATCGTCGCGCGGGGCCACTACACCGAGCGCGCCGCCGCCAATGTCACCCGCACCATCGTCGAGGTCGTCCAGCTCTGCCACCGCCACGGCGTGATCCACCGCGACCTCAAGCCGGAGAACTTCCTCTTCGCCAATAAGAAGGAGAACTCACCGCTCAAGGCCATCGACTTCGGCCTCTCCATCTTCTTCAAGCCTGGTGAGTCACCCCAACCGAGATCCTTTCCCAATTTGGGAGAATTTTCTGCGCACTTCCGTGATTTCTGGTTTTAGTGGGGGTGGTCCGGAAGAAACTGGGCAGTAGAGCTCAGAGTAGCAAAATGTACTTTTTTTTTCTGCAATCCATAAAAAATGTGGTTATTACTAGCCCTGCAATCCGGAAACAACTTGGTGGTTCTTTCATCGGTAATTGGCTATTACTAGCTGCAAGGCAGTATTTGGTAGTGGTCCGGTGGATACTGTTAACTCCCTTTTTTTCAGGATAATATCTAGCCGTACTGACGATAATTTTCAGGACATTGGTTCAACCGGGCTCTTTCTTCCTTCTTACAGAGCATCTTGGTTTGATGAAGAGTGAACATATCGTGGTGGGCTCAGTGGTTGCCTGGTTGGTACATCAAAGTGTTAGGATGTTTGTAGTGTGGCACACTATTATTGGGATTATGATGAACAATTAGTGGTGCATTAGTTGTGAAATTCATTTTATATCACATTCATTGTTATCGATACATTATTTCTTTGATACTAGCATGTGAATGTGTCACAGCTCAGTTTCCGCTGCTGTGTAGAAGTTATATAGCACTGAATTGTTAGTATTTCGGAGTGGATGTGATGTACATTCTTACACTTGCAGAATTAAAATTCATGAAAAGTTTACTAGTATTTACTCTCGACAGAGTTCCCAAATACAGTATACAGTATTTGCTTGATTTACATCAACTTATCAAGTGAGCTTAGCAGTCAGGATTTGTGATATTGATAAGTAAGATAAAGTGGTTCTCTACTGTGATGCTGCTGTGGATGTTTTCTTTTGTGACAGTGAACTCTTTATAGAGGATTCCTGTCAGGTGTTTCTTTTCTTGAACATTCTCTGTGTGTTTTTGGTTTTGGACCCCCACTTCCCACACCCACCCACACAAACAGATCTAATTAAGAATAGCCCATGTGCCATTTTATCATTTGGATTTGCAACCTAAATGTTGATTCCTTTATGAAATAGTGTGTACACAAGGACAGTCCACTCTGACTTAACTTACTGACTCACTTGAGTACTCAGCTCATGGAACAGATTTATCTGTCACCGTGCAGACTTTGTTTTAAGGAAAAAATGACCTTATGCTGCTGAAAAATTGTCACTTAAGTTATATACCATAGAAAGAAATTGGTACACTCAAATACCATCCAAAGCCCGCTCAGTTTATGCTTTATTACTCACGTCAAGTTAGGGCTGATCCTGGTAACACTGATGGTTTGCCCTTCCACCCTTCCATGAGGCCATTCTCTGCGATGTCCCCCCCCCCCCCTAGTCCCCTGCTGTGGCCTGTGTGAGGCACCAGTTATGGTGGTAACCTCCTTATAGCATTCAAAATTTGTCCCCAAATACTTGACATTCTCACTTCCTAATGCACATCTCTCTTTTCCCAGCACACCTTTCTCTTTTCCCGATACATCTCTATCTCTACTCCTTGAGGGTCATTTTGGTCTTTTGGCTTCAGCGTTGGTTTCCATGCGAGATCCTAAAACGTCATCTAATATGGAACGGAGGGAGTAGGTGTTTTCTGTTGCATGGGTCAAAAAAAGTTGTATTCTAATTTCTAAAGATTCCGTGTTGGCACGTTGTGCTTTTGGGGTCCAATTAAGGCCTTCTGTCTGTTATTCTGCATTGGTAGCTGACTAGCTGTGGATATATTGTGTGCATGGCTCACTTGTTTAGGGGATTCGGACGGACTGCTTTGATCTTGCCAGAGATGCAGTTTGCCTAACTTCTATAATAGCAAGAGCAATTGATTGTATAAAATGGAAAGAATGATGTTTCAGTGATAGTTAAGTGTACTGATGTCTTTTGACAGTATGTAACTAAAGTGACGATCTTCTGGTTGCGTGAGACCAAACTTTCCTTGTTTGAATACCTATTATTGTCTGTCTGGCTACTTTTTGCTGTTACAGAATTAAGTTTTTCATATTCTATTTAAGAACTAAATTGTTCATCAATCCGCTAAGGTTCTCTTGGTATGGTTGCAGTTGGTACTATGATAGTTCATTCAATGCTGTTTTCTTGACAGGCGACTTCTTCATTCTTCTAAACCACTAATTCTTCTCTTCTAATAGAATTCAAAATGGAAACCTTTAGTTCAAAAATCTACTGTTCTACATTAGCTCTATGCCGTGATTTTAGTTGGCTTTCTATACGCTGTTCAACACGACTACCCTTAGATCTTAAGACGGCGACATCATACAAAATTACAAACTATAATGGCAAAACAACGTTGTGGAGTAGGAAGAAAAAAGAGTAGTAGTAAAGGGGCTGGCCCAGCCCATATGCCCTCCCCTTCCATGACGTGTACCATCTGCATAGAGGTTATCCTGATGAGTCATCCAGTGGCACCTCCCTCAGCCGCTTCCCTTCCCTCACTGCTCTGTGCTCTCATATCAACCACTGCCACTGCCCCCTTCCAGACCGTGACGCAGCTGACCAGAGCCAGAGCCAACGGGGACGGCAGCGGCTGCAGCCCCTTGGCCTTGCTGGCCAACTCCCCTCCCACTCTTCATCTCTTCCTATCCTCTCCCTCCGCAACTCTCTTTTAAGGATGTTGTGGCAAGGCAACCGAGACACCCAGGCGTAATCACTAAATCACTAACCGAGATTCAAGAGAAAGTGTTTCTTTTATCAAGTTTCCATGGAAGATTAGTATCTAGTATAAAAAATTTCCTTCTTAAGAAAGATGAAAAAAACACTGCATTTAAACCTCAGGACTGGCATTGTGACGTTGCTGATTTGCAATACTTGCAGGACAGGCATGCGTACTACACAAGTAAACTCTAGTTTTATCTGGCCTTTTCTCATCTTTTGTTCTACTTTTTAGGTGAAAAGTTTTCAGAAATTGTGGGAAGCCCCTATTATATGGCTCCTGAAGTATTGAAGAGAAACTATGGGCCAGAAATAGACATATGGAGTGCTGGAGTTATCCTATATATTTTATTATGTGGAGTTCCTCCATTTTGGGCTGGTAACTTCTTTATTGAACCTGTATTTTTTCATTAAATTTACTCTACTTCAGGAAACCTGACCTGGAAAAAACTGCAGAGACTGAACAAGGGTATGAGGCTATTCTTCGTGGAAATATCGATTTTAAGCGGGAACCCTGGCCTAATGTTTCGGTAAATGCAAAAGATTTAGTTCGACGCATGTTGGAGCCTGATCCAAAGCTCAGGTTAACTGCAAAGCAGGTTCTTGGTATGTCATCACTGATGCTAGAAAAAGTAGGCCTTAATATGCCACCTGCCTATTTCCTTGAGGACTCTTAAAAATGTCAGTTGATCAATCCCTGCATAAAGCTTTTCACAACCTTTTTTTCCCCATTCCTTCCAACAGTAAAAAACAGTGATGGTGTCCAGTTTGATTTGGCATTCCTGCTGTATTTCCATTGCTGAGGTGGTCACTATGCTTAGTAAACACTACTGTTGTCCTATTGTTCTGGAGCATCTGATTGGGATATTTTCAGAGTTAAATTTTGGACAGTATGATTGAATGATTCTATTCTACTTTATCCCTAAAAGAAAGAGCTATTTCAATTCAATGAGGTGCCAAGCTATGTAAAAGATGAACCATGCTTAGAATCTGAAATTAGCTTTCAACCTCTACCTATTAGCTTTCAACCTCTACCTGTTTCTGAGACGGTGCAGTTTGTGACATATTTGGAGGCCAAATGCAGCAATGTTGTGCACTGTCATTGTTTTTAAATAGAGGTTCCATCAAGAAATGCTTGGATAATACTCTAGCATAATTCCTTTCCCCCCAAAAAAAGTCACCCCCCCACCCCCCACCCCCACCCCCTGTATAATCTTTTTTCACTTTGTCCTTTTTGATTGAGGAATGTTGACATTTTTCCCCAAAAAATACAGAACATCCTTGGCTTCAAAATGCGAAGAAGGCTCCTAACGTCCCTCTTGGAGATATTGTAAAGTCAAGGCTCAAACAATTTTCTAGGATGAATAGATTCAAAAGAAGGGCTCTAAGGGTCTGTATCTTGCTCTATTGAACCTTTTCATCCTGGTCTGATATTTTATTCTCCCTTATCTCTGCCATAGCAATTCAGGATTGACTGATAAGATTAGGTGTATGTGTTTGACTAGGTTATTGCTGATCATTTGTCTGCTGAGGAAGTTGAGGACATAAAGGAGATGTTCAAGACTATGGATACTGACAATGATGGGATTGTATCTTATGAAGAACTGAAGACCGGAATAGCAAAACTTGGTTCCCATCTTGCGGAATCAGAAGTACAGACGCTCATTGAAGCTGTAAGTATTCAAAGAATCCTCCTAGAAACAGATAAGATAGAGTTCTGTATTTACTATTTACTTAGAAGTCTTAGGTGGTTAACAAATCACCTGTTAATAGAAATGGTACAAGGAAGATGTGATGCATTGAAGGACAAACAATGGTAATTTTCACGGGAAGATACATTGAACCAACTTCATAATTTTAACCCTGTGTCTAGTACATCCCTTTTTATGCCTTGATGGCATTTTCCACTTTATATCCACATCAACCAAATGTTCCAAGCACCTGGGGCATTTAATGTGGCGCAGATTTTCCAGGGTGACTATTATTCATCTTTGATATATGCCCCAGTTATATTCCATTAGTGTCAAATAGCCATCTAGAAGGGCGGGCCTGGTGCAAGCGGTAGAGTCTTACCGCCTGTGACCGGAAGGTCCCGGGTTCGAGTCGCGGTCTCCTCGCATTGCACAGGCGAGGGTAAGGCTTGCCACTGACACCCTTCCCCATACCCCGCACAGAGCGGGAGCTCTCTGCACTAGGTACGCCCTTTTTAGTGTCAAATAGCCATCTGACCTGACCATACCCTAGTGAGGTCTAATAGACCAATTCATTCAGTTAGACGTGTCCATTTTCCTTCTATTTGCTTAGGTGTTAACATATTGTTTCATTCCTGCTGTAGTTTAGACTATGCATGCCTGTGGGCAATGGAATATTGTGTGCTGTGTGTTAGGCACTCCTTTTGAATGACATGAAAATTCCCCTGCTGATCTGGGTTGTCCCTTCTAGCTCACAAGAGCTATGGTGCCATCATTGGGAATGCTTTTTCCTACACTGTATTAGGTAGTAATGCTGGTGCCCAATATATAGGAGCTGAACCTCAACTAGCTGACTGCTTACTAGCAGATTTGAGGCAATAATGGGATGATTTCATCAATGAAATGCACGCCCTTGTCTCATACCAGCAACGGAAAAAAGGTACTGTGTAGTGTAGCAGCAAAATAGGCCTGTTTGGCAGAGTTTCGAGAACAGCCTCTGGGCTGAATCAAGGAGGAACTCTGCCAAGCCGTTTTCTTTAACAGAAAAGTAGATTCTATGCTGATTCCATGAAGTGATTCTCTGAAATGAACTAGGAGGCTCGGAGTTCAAAAAGTAGCTTCTCTTGATTCACTCCACAAACAGAATCACCTTTTACATAGAATTTATCCTAAAGAATAAAAAATAATCACTTTCACCAACATAACCACTTCTCTTAGAGAATCACTCCTCAGTCCTCACAGAACCAGGAGCGCAGGAGGAGCTCTAGTGCTCTACCAAACAGGCCTAATAAGAGAACGGAAGTTATGGGAGTAGTGTTGCCTACTTGTCTTACTCTCATTATTTACTTCTCCAATGCTCCTTGAGCGCCATTGTTTACTTGTTTTATTAGGAAGTTTCTTAAGTTTTTGTTGTCGTTGTTGCAAGTTTTGAGTTCTCTGATGGATTCAATCTGACAATAGATCCAAAGTGATCTGCGGTATCACATGAGGATCTTTGGCTTGTATCAGTAAGATAGTTTGCATTGATGTAGCTTGATCACTATGTGGCAAGAGGCAGCGAGAGCAGGCTGGATTATTGAATTGTGACTGATTTGCACTGTACACTCTGCTCATCTTCTATTGAGTTCTGTGCTCTGCGGTTTGCACATCTCTGATCAGTCCTGATTGGCATACAGGTGGATACAAATGGTAGGGGGGCACTAGATTACGGGGAATTTTTGGCTGTCTCTCTTCATTTGCAAAGGATGGCAAATGACGAGCATCTTCGCCGGGCCTTCCTATTTTTTGACAAGGATGGCAATGGTTTCATTGAACCTGAGGAACTTCGAGAGGCTCTAGTGGATGATGGAGCAGCTGATAGCATGGAAGTGGTGAATGACATATTGCAAGAAGTTGACACTGATAAGGTCATTATACTCTCCTATCTAATAGAACCGCTGTTTTGGTTCTCCAATCATCTGAATGAATATCTTCTCCATTTACATCTGCAGGATGGCAAGATTAGCTATGACGAATTTGTAGCAATGATGAAGACCGGTACAGATTGGAGAAAGGCATCCCGGCACTACTCAAGAGGAAGATTCAACAGCCTTAGCATGAAGCTTATAAAGGATGGGTCGGTAAAATTGGGCGTTGAGTGAAACCACACCCTCGTTCATATGTGTGCATGTGGTTAGGCCCTTGGCCCACTAAGCAGAAGAACTTTTGGCCTTTCCTTTTCCCCCCTCATGATTACCTTGCGTGGAAATTTAGATAGGTGGAAGAACCCTCTGATTGTCTTACCTGTGTAATTAGCTATCCCGGTTTCGCTGACAAGCACTGAGCGAGCCAAACGATGTACCGAATGGTGTGCTCCAGCTTTCACCCGTTCTCTTTGATCCTGTGTCACCTGATGCCAAGTGTTGTACAATACAATGTTTTTGCAGTCTTGAAATGCAGTTTGTTGACCTGCCGTGCTGCCCGGTGGCAAAGTTCATTACGTGCTTCTTCTATTGGGAAACGCCGAATAATGTGTTCGGGAGTGGCGTCCTACTCCTGCCTGCAATGTGATGCCAAAATAGGAGATATGATGCAATGTTCACCTAGTACATTAGGTGGGTGCAAGTGCGACGCAAACAAAATCGGATGCTGTTCTTTCTGCCATGCAAATTGGTCTGACTCTGATGCTTTCGTGATCGAGAAGCCGGAGCGATATGATGGTACCAGCGTTCAACCACGTGAGGGAATTCCTCGGAGCAATACAATGCTTCTTCTTCAACCATGGACTTGGATGCATCTGCTTCTGCTGGAGTGCACAAATAAAGACTGATGGCATCATCAGGCGTGGAGCATAAGTAGATAGATGAGGTTAGGGCACGTTTAGTTCGCGAATTTTTTTAGGTTTGGCTACTGTAGCACTTTCGTTTGTATTTGGCAATTAGTGTCTAATTATGGACTAATTAGGTTCGAAAGTTTCGTCTCGCGATTTCTCACCCAACTATGCAGTTAGTTTTTTTCGTCTATATTTAATGCTCCATGCATGCATCTAAAAATTCGATGAGATGAACAAAAACCAAAAATTTTTGAAACTAAACGCGCCCTTAATGCCGGGAAGCATACGGCTCCATTTGACGAGCCTGAAGCATCTGGGCCGGGGGTGAAGTGAAACTCCCCGCGAAATCCGTTCTGCACCACCACTGGTGGCGGAATAAAAACCCCGTGTGCGCTCGATCACCGCTTTCCGCCACGGCATAGCATCATCATCATGTGCTGATGCTCGCTAGTACATACAGTACGTACCACCAGCCCCAGCCAAAACGGACCTGAACTGCCGTGTCATGCCCGTGCACGCCGCTGCTGGTGCTGGGTATGTATGCCTGCCTACTCGAACCGCACCGTACCAATTATCTTGGAACATCTGCGCCAGCACGAGTATCTGGCTATCCGCTACTAGCCTACTACTACTACTACTGCCGTCGTAAAAAAAGCGGATGCGACTTACTGCAAGGTGAAGGTGGGCGGTTCTACGAGCCGGCCGGCACGCGCGCGCCAGAGAAGTGGCATGGTCAGCCATGTAAAGTTGGCTTAGGTTGAAGTCACTCGTCACCGGTCTCCCCCACTGGCACTACTACTATACCTCAGCGCCACCACTCGCTCCACCCGTCAGCACTGCAGGTGCAGACAGCGCAACATGGACGCGCCGGCCGACGTCAAATCGGAGGGGGGGAAAGGGAAAGGAAAGGAAAGGAAAGGGAAGGGAAGCTCAACGCCGCAACGCAACGTGCGCCGGGAGGCCTGGAGCTGGCGTTGGCGCGATGCGTAGGGGGTGTTCGGCTGCCCTGGTTCGGGAGGAATTTGGATGGTTTAGAAAAATTTTGAAGGAATTTGTGAGAGAAAAATACTATTCTAAATAAAAAAAGAAGCGAATTAAGTCAGCCGGGTTTAAGGGCACGCGAATGGGGCCGTAGTTGGTGTTGGCAGCGAGCGACCGGCCCACCCCACTGGCCCTCCCGGCCTCTTCTACTCTACTACGCGAGCGTGCGTGCGGCGCGCTGCCAAGACGCGCAAGAATTGCCCAGTGGGCGACTGAGGTCGTGGACCGTGGACGTACGCAGGGGTTGTCGGCAGCTAGCGCGCTCGTGCGCATTCCGTTCCCACCGCGACTGCGGCGCGCGTTGCGGCGCTACGCCTATTGGCTCCGCTCCCTGTTGCTGTTGCTGCTAGTGCTGCGCCGCCACTGGCTCTGCTGCAGGCAACGGCGGCGGCGGACGCCGCTTTCTTTGTAGCGCGAGGCCCGGAGCCACGCGGCGCGGCGTCGTCCGGTGGGTTACGATTTCCTCCGGACGTCACGAGAGCGTCGCGACACCGCACACATGTGGGACTGTTGTCTAGTATATCTTACTAAAACATTGCGGCGCCCGCGCGGGAATATGTAAGATGCACCGTACCGCAAATGAGGTAGGGACCGGACCGGAGCTGCCGCGCGCGGCCGAACGAACGGGACGGATCGAGGCTAATCCATCAATCAATGCGGCTGCTGTCAGCTTTGCCGACAAATTAACATGGCGCCCGGGGGGTTCTGGTTCTGGATAACACATGCCATGTGGCGGGCTGATCTGAATTCTGATAGCATGCATGCAGTCCGGATCTCTATCTCCGCGGCGGTGATCGATGTCTATCTACATGCAGCTGCAGTTATGCAGCTGAAGTTAGGAGCATGTCCATTGTCGGAACGTGATTTTCCTTCAAAAAAAAAATGTCGGAACGTGACGAATCGGGGCGGGACAGCATGGCTTCCTGCAGGCTCCAGCCTTCCATCCCCATGCTAGCTACTAGCTAGTCGCGTTGAACGAGTTTAATGCATGCAATACCAGACAAGATCGTCCCGGCCCCGATCGGATTTGTGTCCTTAATAACTGGGCCTTATTAATAACTGGACAGTGTGGAACCCATCTGATTTGTGCCAGCCTCTCGGGAAATGGTCGCACGAGGAGGAGCTACCATGCCGAACTTCCCTTTGTTCTCGGGTGGGCAGCAGCTGCGCAGCATGCCATGCCGGCCGATGAGACAAACCAAGACCACTGGATCGAACGGTGCTCGATGGCCGGGAATCTTTGCCGATTTGATCATTCATTGATTGATTGATAGATACGTAGTAGATTAGGGGCCTTGTTGGTTCCTTCCCCTCCTCTTAAAATTTCTATCACATCGAATATTTGACATATATATGGAGTATTAAATATAGACTAATTACAAAACTAATTACATAACTTGCGATTAATTTACGAGACGAATCTTTTAAGCCTAATTAGTCCATGATTTGACAACGCGGTGCTACAGTAAACATGTGCTAATGATATATTAATTAGGCTTAAAAAATTCGTATCGAAAATTAGCCTCTATCTATGTAATTAGTTTTATAATTAATTTATATTTAATACTCCTTATTAGCCTCTAAATATTTGATGTGACATAAAGAACCGAACACCCGCTAGGTATGCTCAGGATTTCCGTTCGTCGGAACAACTTCGATCATCATCATGTCAAATTGTCAATTGCCAAGCAAAGCTGAATCAGGTTGCCGACAGCTTATTTTGTCTGATACTGATAGTATTAATAAGGTATTTACAATTGCGGCGGCCGGACCATCGTGATAGAAATCATCAGGCTACGAATCTAGACCAGACAACTGAGAGGCTCAAAACGTTTAGTTGAGGGGAAAGTTAGAATTTGACTACTGTAGCACTTTCGTTTTTATTTAGTAATTAGTGTTCAATTATAGATTAATTAGACTCAAAACATTGGTCTCGTAATTTCCCACCAAACTATATAATTAGTTTTTTTTCATCTACATTTAATGCTCTATACATGTATCGCAAGATTTGATGTGATAGATACTGTAGCACTTTTTTAGAATATTTTTTTCAACTGAACACGGGTTGAAGCAGCCGTAGTAGGCCCGTAGCACACAATTCCTGCATTGCAATGAACCGCGATACCCAGACAAGTGACATCCACGTGTCGTCACGCCGCCGCTCCTGCTCTTCTCCGCCTTGTGCCTGCCTTCTGTCGTCTCGCTCTTTATCCCAAAACTTCATTTGTCCTTTTAACATAAACGGATAAACCCCACAGGATCCGCCATTAAATTTGTCGACACTCGGCGCTTTGCACTACTCCCACTATGGTGTCGCCATCGGTTAGGAGGCCAACCCTAATTATTGTCTTAGCCATCAGTCCATCACTCCATAACACCAATTAATATAAGGCCTTGTTTAGATAAGTTTTTTCACTCTCTCTATCACATCAAATCTTTGGACATATGCATGGAGAATTAAATGTAGATAAAAAATAACTAATTACACAGTTTGATTGTAAATTACGAGACGAATCTTTTGAGCCTAGTTAGGCCATGATTGGACAATAATTGTCAAATACAAACGAAAGTGCTACAGTGCCAAATACTGATTCCTAACCCCAATCTAAACCAGGCCTAACTGTCACTCTGCCCATGCGGCAGCCGGCGAGAGGTTAGGGTAGTTTTTATGTTTATTAATTTATATGGATATTATTATATATAGAAACTATATTCTACAGAATATTTTTTGTTTAATCAAATGCCTTCTCTCTCTCTCCATCATTTAACTAACACATCTCTTCATATTTAGTTCTCATGTAGACATAATTTTTTATCTAAGAAATAATTTCCTCATCTCTCTTCTTTAATTGCAATGATACATGTCTCTTTGCTTAGTTGACACCCCAATTAATAAACATAGAAATCATCTGGTTTCATGGCTGAGAGTGCTCTTATTACCAGGCAACACGAGTGTGTGTAATCATCTCAGAAAATGGAAACGCTGGATATATGCCATGGCAAACCAGGCTCACACATGAAATCCTATCTAGTGGTGTAAACAAAGCCCACAAACACTAGATCTACTATCTTTTTTTAATAATGGAAAGATATATTCTGGTTTCAACCATCCTCTGATGAGGATGCATCGATCACACAACAATTATTACATGTAGAAGTCACCCACAGTTATAACCAAAGCATGTGACCTAATGAGGAAATAGTCGAGACATCAAACACTAGGCATTGATGTACGCTAAAAACATACAAGAACAAAATCTCCAACATGATCATCATGTAGTCACCTCTTCCTAGCTTTTCTATGGCATCAACTCTAGAAGAACCAATCTTGCCAACTAAAGCTTGATTCAATCTTTCATATGTAAAGAACATATATGCTTACTAACAAGAGAAATCAAACTAGCCTCATGGCCTCAAACAAGGGCGACACCAACTGCTATGGGAGACACTGTATACTAAAACCTAGCAACAACAAGAAACCATCAAGATCGTCATTGTCGAATAATGCCAGGACGTTGGGATCCATCCAGTGCGACATCTCTAATGAGAGAATGACATCCAAAAATGCCACTATCGCACAAACAAAGAAACCAGTGCTAGTTTTTCATGAATGGCATCCACACGCATCATAGCCAGTGAGAGTATAGACAAGTAACAACCAGTCAGAGCCGCTGCTATTACCCTCTAGCACCACCCA